CTGCATCACCCACAAAAGTCGATGGGCCTTCCTTTGGTCCATCCTCACTAAGCCCGGACACTCCAGCACTTTCCTTTCTTGGGCCGTCGGCAATGAGAAAAGGAAAAAAAAATCTGTCCATTTTGCCGCAAAACCTACTTCGCAGAGGGGTCCCCTCAGAACCACTTTCCGGCTTTCCAGAATTCTTTGGCCGTTTATTGTGCCCGACTGGGTTTTCCATCCTTTTCCCTGTGGGTTTCCACCCTTGGACTCTTGCTCAAGCTCTCCCAAGCGGGCCTCGCAACACCAACCACTTGTCCCAAATCCAGTACATCTCCTGGCCCCCAGTTCAGCCGTCAAGCCAACAAGTTGAAATTTGAGTTCTCCTATACTCCCCAACCTCAGTATACTGTAACCTCTCCTCCTGGAACACTACCCCCGGGATTCCCGTAATCTATTATTCGTCTAGGTCCGGGGCATATTGTTGAAGCAAAGGCCCAAATGTGAACCTTCCGGACTGCGGGTCCTTAGCCGGCAGGAGCGGGTACCTCTCCCATGTTCTCCCAAACTCAATCGCTTCATTCCCCAACTTTCTTCTCTGCTTGAGCAGATCTACCAGCAAGGCTGTTTGGAGGTTTTCCATTACTCTGTTCCCTAGTCCCACCATTGTGACCGTCGTGCTTTGTCGGATCGCCGCGTCATCCTCCTCAGTTACTACCCGTGGGGAGGCCGCACCAGTCGCTGACTCCCACCACTCCCAGAATTCCGTCACTTCGGGGACAAATGCATGATGAGATGGGGGATGGTCTCCACTTGGCCACACCCCGGGGCCTGATATAGCTCCTCATTGTGGCGGGCAGATATACCACTCGGCACACAGTAGCTGGCGAGTCTGGGAGGGTCTCCAAAAAAGCGCTCTGTTCCCTCCATCTACAGTAGGTCCATTTAGGCATCAGAGCGGGGGGAATCCAATCCCTTTTAGCCCATGGATCCCTCAGCTCTGTGGCTATGTCCACCTTTGGACAAATTGCTCGGTAAATCTTCTTCGTGGTGAGCTGCGGCAATGGAGTATCCCTACTTGAGTTTTGAGTTGGTAGGGTCCAATGTTGTGGGTCAAGAACCAACCGTCTTCTAGTCTTGCTGATCGCCATCTCGGTTCTTGCAAGGCCTTGCAGCTCATCGAAGCTTTAGCGACTCGTGCAAAAGGCATCGGCTTCCTTTTTGCACTCTTCCAAGTGAGTCCTCCTCTTAATGTCCACACTATCCCGACTTCCTCCCCCCTATTTCCAAGTCTTTCTGCGCTGTGGTGTTCGGCACTGCCCATATCTTCTCCTTCGTGGCACAGCTGTTTTCTTCCTCTTCAAGCTGGAGGTTCCTTCTTCATCCTGGTGCTGGCACTAGTTGTTCTGGGAGGTGTCTCGCACTAGTTGTGGGACCACAGTGAGGCAATTTCCAAATGGCGTTGCTGCTCCCGACACAGGAGAGTGGATGCGTTGGAGGTTCACGGAGTAGTGAGTGAGGCTGGGCACTGTTGAAAAAATGCGGTTCACCATAGCTGGCTATGGAGGTTGAGTTGGAAGGAGGAGGAAGACTTCGTAGACTTGATGACTCCATGTTCCCAGTTTGTTCAGTTGCTTGGAACTTCGATTCCGCATCCAGTCTGCCTTAACTTTTGGCTTCGTGCAAAAACCCTTGCTACCTTTTTCTGCGAAAATGGTCGTCGTTCATAAACATCCCCACTGAATTTCATGATCTGTTTGCTAGTTTTTGAGATTTTTTTTT